GCCTCATCCCAGACGTGTATTCGTTAAATGCGTACATCCGGACGTACGCTTCTGATATTATGCCTATTAATAATGCGTACATCCCAGCAGAAACACAACATACACTTCTCCCACCCACAAACAACAGATCGGCTCGAGTCGGTAGGCCACAGAGAACTCAATTTACTAACGAAATGGATTTGCGTGCTACGGGTAGAGAAAATGGGTAATATTGTAATGTATACGTTTCTGGATTTTTTGTTTTGCATCCAATTAGTAATGATCTATTTGTTCTCTTTTTAGAATCTGTTTCATTGTATCTGACATTTTGGTTCACATAAATTCCATCAGATAAATTTAATTTTGTACGACGCCGTATAAATTCAGATAAAATTAATCAGATAAAATCAAGCAAATAAAATTTTATTAGATAAAATCAAGCTGATAAAATTTTATCAGATAAAATTAATCAGATAAAATCAAGCTGATAAAATTTTATCAGATAAAATTAATCAGATAAAATAAGATCAAATTTAATGACATAAATATATCACATAAATTTTAACAGAGAAAGAGTATCTATAAATAATTCATTTGAAAGATACAATTATGGAAAGTTTTGCCATGTGTCATCTTCTAAGCAAACTTTCATTATAATATTTTAGATTTTCTTTCCAATTTAGTAAATAAACTATACTTCCGTTAATTAGTATTAAAGGTAGATTAGAACTCATCTTACGTTTAATTCAAAGCTAAGGTAATTCAAAAAATAAAATCTCATATTTATTTTTAAGTGCTATAACTTTTCAATTTGTACTTTGATGGTTACAAAAAATATATCATAATTTATAACTTTTTATTCTCTTTCATATGAGACCAATCTATCTATCTATCTATAGATAATACATTTTAAAGATACAATTATGGAAAGTTTTGCCATGTGTCATCTTCTAAGGAAACATTAATTATAAAATTGTAAATTCCCTTTCTAATTTGGTATGTTCGTTAATTATTCTTCCTATACATTAGTTTTTAACTTAGATTAGAACTGATGTTACGTTAATTTATGACTAATCTCTAAGTTGGAATCCTACGTCCTCTTTAAAAAAAACTTCCTAAAACTATGCAACTCAAATAATAAAATCCCATGTTTATTTTAATCTAAAATAACTTTTGAATTTGTACTTTAATTGTTACAAAAAATATATTAAATTTCATAAATTTTTAATATATTTCATATGACACCGATATTGAATATATATAAATAAAAAATAGTTTAATACTTTAAAAAACATTTGTATTTTAAAGTGATATATCTTAGATGAGTTATAATTTAACACGACAAAAGTTCCATAATTTATAATTGCAATCTCATTTGATAACACTGAAATTGGCTGAATCGGCATTTTACTCAAATTTATGAAAATCTGGCTGAAGTGGTTGAATAGACTGATTCTGTTAACTTATGAAAAATTAGATTTAATTTTTTTTGCTAACAAAATAAATACGGAGTATTTTTTTATGAAAAACAACTAAAATAATCCCCCATGGTAACTTCAGCCAATACAGCCAGAAAATCAACTCCAATTTTATTTTTTCTACAAGACAGGTGTTTTAAAGTGTTAAATTATTTTTTATTTTTATATATTTAACATTGGTGTCATATGAAAGATCATAAAAAATTGTGAATTTTGATACATTTTTTGTAACAATTGGAGTGCAAATAAAAAAGTTACACCATATTAAAATAAACATGACATTATATTTTGGTGGGGCCCTGATGAGTTATAATTGAACACGACAAAATTTCCATAATTTATAATTGTGATCTCATTTGATAACACTGAAATTGGTTGTATCGGTTGATTCTACTGAAATTTATGAAATTCTGGCTGGAGTGGTTGGATAGACTGATTCTGGTGACTTATGAAAAATTATATTTAAAATATTTGTTACTAATAAAATATAGATTCTTTTTCATAAAAATGGCCAAAATAATCCTCCATAGTAACTTTAGTCATTACAGCAGGAAAATTAACTTCAATATTACTTTTTCTTCTCATTACTACCTCCGTCACGCTAATATTAGAACGGAAGAGGGTGACACGATTATTAATAAAAGTGAGTTTATGTGATTGATATTAATTGATAAAATAAAAATGATTTAGAGCCACACAAACTTTACCAAATTTGATATGTGACAATTTTAGTGGGACTTTCCAAAAAACGTAAAATGAAACAATATTAGCGGGACGGAGAGAGTATTACATAATTCAGCGTGCGAAATAAAAGCTTTGAAAAAAACCAACATTTAAAAAACATTAAAAAAATATGTACAACTTACACGGGTAAAATGCTAGAATAAATTTGTGTCTTAGACGGGTTATGTTTAGTAATTCTAGGAGGCACATAAAGCAATTTTCTATTTGGATACATAGAGCCCATTGGTAACAGTGAAATTGGCTGAATCAGATAAAATTGAAAATGGTAAATTTGTGTCTTGCATGGGTTAGGGTTAGTAATTCTAGAGTCAGGGGCGTAGCTAGGATTGAAGGTTGGACTAGGCTGGTACAATAAATTTTTTAGATAATTTTTTTCACATAAATTTTTACACTGAAAATACAAAGAATTTTCAAATTTGGGGCGGGCCATGGCCCGGTTGGCCACCCCTCTACCTCCGCCACTGTTCTAGACGACACATAAAACAATTTCTTAATTGGATACGTAGAACGCATTTGGTGACACTGAAATGGGCTAAATCGGATAAATCAGGTGAAATTATGGGTGAAGTGTTGCACTGGTTGAGTTATTGAAAAATTGTATTTAAAATATATTTTGTTAATTAAGTTAAGACAAAAATACATGAAAAATAGTTATAATAATGTTCTATAGTAAATTCAGTTAATTCAGCTAGAAAATTACTCCAACCTAATATACTTTGATTATTTCCCAATTCAGCGAGCGAAGTCAAAATTAAACTACGCAATTGACTAACACATTTGACGATAAGATGAAAACAAAGGTTGCCAAACAGGCTCATAGATTAGGGCGATGCTTGGCATATAGAACTGTAGGTGGAAATTAATGTCTGAATTAAAGTCTATTGTCTGAACTCAAGACTATTGTCTAGAACATAATTTTGAACTTTTAGTTGGATGACGTAAATCTGTTTGGCAAAAAGAGCTAAAAATTAACCAGATAATATGACATCAAACTAGAAATTTTCAAAAGCAAGGAATCCACCCTAAAACTCCATATTAGATTAGAATAGATCTTCCGAATCATTTTGCACATTCTAATTTCCTGATATAATACTAATAACAGTAATAAAGATGTTTTTTGTTTGGACTAATTTTTTAGCTTAAACATATATGGTGTGATATTATGAGTAATAAAAAACTATTATAAATTAACTTAAGGTACATGTATTCCAAATGTAAAACAAGTATTGCAGTTTTAAAATGTTTTTTTTAATATTTTTTAATTTTAAATATATTAATATATAACTTTATCTTGAAAGTCAAAATGGTGCAAACATAACTAAGCAAGTACACATACAATACATCTAACAAAAAGAACTTTTTAAAAACCCGAAATTTGAAGAACATTAAGAAGTTAAAAAAATACTCCATATATGTATAACTTTCCATCTGTACATTAGAGAATTTAAAAAATGTTTGAGATGGTTAGAATGTGATGAGAAGCAATTTTAGTAAAAGAAAATTAAAAGGGATAAAATTGTCTTACATGGGTTAGGTTTAGTAATTCTCGGAGCACATAAAGCAATTCCTTATTCGATACATACGGCCTGTTTGCTAAAATGCAAAAGGGGATTACAAATTAAAATCATACAATTAACCTCAAGAGCTAATTCCTCAAATATGTTTTAATTAAGTAAAAAATTCTTAAAAACATTTCAAAATGATGAATATGAGATTTATTCATGTATGAATTTATGCAATAAGGTCATTTAACTCTATAGGTCAATGTCTCAAAATAATAAAAGTAAGATATGTTTGATAGCTCCAAGCCACCAACTTTTCAATGAGATTGTTGAGCTAGAATAGAACTGTCTAGCCTATTGTACTCATTTTTCCATTTTCTTACTACACACATACAACTTTAATAATACCACTACACTTGAAAACTCAAATTTCCATAAGTTATCATATGGATCATAGTATAAGTTCAATATCACTTATTTTAGTTAATTAGATCATATTACCCTCAATAACTCATTCTAAAAAAATGAGAACTGTCTAGCCTATTGTACTCATTTTTCGATTTTTTTACTACACACATACAACTTTAATAATACTACTACACTTGAAAACTCAAATTTCCATAAGTTATCATATGGATCATAGTATAAGTTCAATATCACTTATTTTAGTTAATTAGATCATATTACCCTCAATAACTCATTCTAAAAAAAAATAAATCAGTCGCTAACAATCACAATATGCAGCCTGTTGTCGCCATCATTGTCTTCATTAAAATAGGAATGTCACGAAAATTTATATTATAAACTCTTTTCATGAAGTCAGAGATTGAAGGACTAATTTGCAAAATTTTAAAATCGTGAAGGGCATCTAAAAACAAATTGACTACACCCAATTTAGATATATAAATTAAAAAAATGTGTAGTTAGTTTTGAAAAAAACAATAAACCGGGATGAAATTTAATGGAAATAATAGGCATTTAGCATTTTTATTTTTTGTTTAGGTAAATATAGTTGAAAAGATTAATTTCATTTGGATGCAAATGAGAGTTACAAGAATGCTATTTTCATTGGAAATTATTGACTGCAAATATGTTTAGATAATTAGTTAAAAACAAAACATACTCAATAAATTAGAATATGCATTATAAACCAACGTTAAAATCGACTGAGTAAGTGATTTTCTGTTCATAAACTAAAAATCAAAATCATTTAAACCCGTGCATCGCACGGGTAAAGATACTAGTAAATTAATAACTTCAATACTCCTACCGAACTACTCCATAAACACATTCGTGAGGGCTACCCAAATCTTAGGCGATTTAGGCGTGAGGGCTCGAAGCCCGTATGTATGTACTCCATCTGTTTCCGCTTCCTCACGACATCATCTGTTTCCGCTTCCTCGCCTAAATCTAGTTTAGGAGTATCTGTCAGCAAACAAACACATTCATGATTCATCCATAAACAAACACATTCATTCATCCATAAACAAATACATTCTTTCACGCGGATCACAATCTAACGGTTTGAAGAAGCTTTCGGATCACCATCTAACGGCCTATACTCCAGTCGGAACTGCCTAATCCGACTGGGAGGAATCCTTTCCTTTTCAGCTTTAATCCCGTGAGCAACCTTTTGTCCAATTCATCTCGTGATATTACCCCAATTCATCTCGTGATATCTATTTTTTTTTATAAATAGAATGTAAATTTTACCCCAATACTCCCTTACTACATCATTACTCAATCTCAGTTTTTTCAATCCCAAGCAAATCAAAACTTTGGGAGCAGTCAAATTTCCAGGTTAGTTCAATTTCGGTTTTAGGAGTGTAGGAGCAGTTAATTTAGTAATTTGTAAATTTTTAATTGAGATTGTGAAATTGGACTTTTAGAGTAAAATTTAGCTACAAAATGCTTGAAACTTATAAAGTGTGTTACATTTAGGATTTGTCTTAAATTTCGGTTTTAAGAGTGTAGAAGTAGGTAATTAAGTAATTTGTAATTTTTTTATTGAGATTGTGAAATTGGACTTTTAGAGTAAAATTTAGCTATAAAATGCTTGAAACTTAGAAAGTGTGTTACATTTAGGATTTGTCTTAAATTTCGATTTTAGGAGTGTAGGAGTAGTTAATTTAGTAATTTGTAAATTTTTAATTGAGATTGTGAAATTGGACTTTTAGAGTAAAATTTAGCTACAAAATGCTTGAAACTTAGAAAGTGTGTTACATTTAGGATTTGTCTTAAATTTCGGTTTTAGGAGTGTAGAAGTAGTTAATTAAGTAATTTGGAATTTTTTTATTGAGATTGTGAAATTGGACTTTTAGAGTAAAATTTGGTTATAAAATACTTGAAACTTAGAAAGTGTGTTACATTTAGAATTGTGAAATTGGACTTTTACTAGTAAAATTTAGCTATAATAATTGGACTTTTACTCATTAAATTCGAAATTACCATTACACAAATAAGTTAGTATGCATTCTATTGTGAATATCTATTATTGTTGTGAAATAGGGAGTATAATTTAGGTGATTTTAGATTATATTGTTATTTAAAAAAAATTCTTCAAAAAAGTGTATCGAAAAGTATAATTTATACAAATAAGTTAGATGAATTTGTATTATACGTAGTATATGGAAAAGGGTATAGTAATTATAAACTTTGGTGATTTTAGATAAAAAAAATTTATTTTCGAAAATTACAAGGGTAATAATAAGTTAAACGTAGTATTAGATTATTTTAAATGAATTCACATATGGATTACAACAAATTATTTACATTCTAGATGGTATGGAATATAGCGAATTGAGTTAACCTTTAGTGTTATACATAGTTGGTTTAGTATTATATAGCCAATTGAGTTAACCTTTAGTCACGTGAGTTACATATTGTAATAGTTAAAAGTTTAAATTAGTTAAATATTTGTAGATGATATTTTCTATTAGTTAAATATCATCTACTACGTATTAATTAGTTAGATGATATCTAAAGTGTTGGATAAATTATAATCTGATAAATTTTTATCAGATAAATCTTCTTGAGATAAATCCAATCAGATAAGTGTCAAAGTTGAAGTCTGGCAAAAATTATCTGTCAAAGTTAAAGTTGGCAAAATTAATTCGCTGGGTCCTCAAATTTAGTGCAAACCATCTCTGTAACAAAGTAAAATAAAGTCTATCAAATTCGTATATCTGTCAAAATTCAAGATTAATTTAGTAAAAAATATAAAGTAGTTTGAATTAGTGATTTAATTTAATTTAAAGTCTGTCAAATTCGTATTCTGTAATTACAATTTTGAAATTTAGTATAAAAAATATAGCAAGTAGTTTGAAGTATTAATTCAGTGAATTGAGTTTAATTTTGGTGATTTAAGATTACATTGTAATTTTTCGAAAATTAAATGCCAACACTACATATCATGAGTTAATCTTAAATATTATAACATAATGAGTATATATCACTGATATTAGTAATATATGTATTACTTAGTGTATTAAATACTTAGGCTATATATTAAATAATACTAATGATGGACTTTTACTCAAACTACCTAGTGTTTATTTGAGATTGTGAAATTGGAATTTTACTAGTAAAATTTAGATATAATAATTGGACTTTTAGTCATTAAATTCGAAATTAGTAGTTATTTTGGTAACTTTTAGGAATTTCAAATGGAGCAAAACATTCCGCGCCCAGGGCCTGTTACCTGTTCACTACTCACGTTGCCACTGCGTGCCCATCGTGTGGACCGTGTATGGTATGAACCAGATTCCGAAGACTTGTGCTTGAAATGCGTCAATTGCCATTCAGCTGCATTCGGAGATGAACCGCGACATGAAAGAGTGATAGATATGTTAGCATATGCTGGGTTCTTGGGGGTAGAGCACATTGCCCGTATGAAGGTGGATCATAGTTTAATATGCGCTTTGGTGGAGAGATAGAGGCCGGAGACACATACTTTCCATCTTCCTTTTGGTGAGGTCGGGATTAGTGTACAAGATGTGGCGATGATCCTTGGTTTGCCCATTCGGGGTATGCCCCTCAGTGGTCCAACCATTAAGGGTAAGGCTCAGTGGATCGACCTGTGCACACAGTCGTGTGGTTTCACTCCTCTAGAGACTGATATGCGCAGGAGTGATATCACCATGAGTGCTCTTACCCGTCACAGGATCCTACCTCACAGTACAGACGAAGAGGTCACCGAACACACCAGGACCCTAATATGGCAATTGCTTGGAGGGTTTTTGTTCCCTGACACAAGTGGGGGAAGAATACGATTGTACTTTTTGGAGGTCTTGCAGGGTGACTTGGCTTTAGCCCGACGATGGAGTTGGGGATCAACGGTTCTCGGGTACCTCTACCATAACTTGTGCAATGGCGCCAAGTGGGAAACCAAACAAGTTGGCGGTTGTATGCACTTGTTACAGATTTGGGCTTGGTCGAGGATTTCGATGGTCCGTCCCTCAGTACTTTAGGTCATTCAAATTGACCATCTTCCATATGGGTGCAGGTATGTTGGCAATTACATCTTAATAATTGAGAATGCTTTATATGACGTTACATTTTTTAACTTCATATCGGTAATCAATAAATGTAGGTGGATCGTCCCAAGTCATATAAGGGATCCCCAAGACATTGCATACGCTTGTACCGGGATGACCTAGACCGCATGAGTGAGAGTCAGGCAGTACTTGAAATTTTTACTTCAACCGTACTATTCAATTTTCAATACACATTGTTTTATAGTTTTTAAATTGCAAATTAAACTTTTTACAGTTTGATTTCACTCCCTACGCGTCCGAGATACTCCCACCTCACATCCTTAATGACGCTCTGCTTTGGTCGGCTAGGGTCATGCTCATATTTTGCAATATGGCCGAAATGCATTACCCCGATCGATTTCTTCGGCAGTTCCATATAAGGCAAGATATTCCGAATGCTCCTTTGACGGGTACTGATAATCACGGCAATCGTTCCGACATAGTAACCGCTGCCTTGGCGATGTGGGCGGACATACAACATAATATATACGTTCTTGATTATGATCGACATATGTCCCTCGAAGCAACTAATAGGTACCGAAAGTGGTACAAGAAGCATGGTATGACACGGTATTCTCTCTTCTTCACATGTTTCTTGCTAAGATCTCTGGCTTATCTATGATGAATTAAATTGAAGGCCTCATTCGGTTGGTGAGTAGATGGTTCAATGCAATTTCAATTAGGTGTTATTTAGAGAGGTTGGGAGTATTCCCACTTTGCCCTACCTGTGTCAATATCTATGTATATTAATATAGATTGGAGTTTTATATGAATAATAAACAGTAGTAGGCATTTGATAAATGGTATTTTGATATCCTGTGGTGCTCACTGGAATATGAAATGCAAAAACACTGTGGGATGCTTATCATACCAGCTCTTGGAGTGGGTGGAATGGTCTGTATTGCTCTCTTATTCTTATACTATGTATTAAGTATTAACATGTCAAACTGATTGTCTTATATATTAGTCAAACTTCTCCCCTGAATACTAGCGGAACAAGATATACTCCGTAATAAAAATAATGTATGAAACCTGACATTTTATCCTAGAAGAAACATTACAAAATAAAACAGTTTATAGAGAATTTACCCTAAATAGGACTAAAATCGTTTGTATATTCTAAAATAGGACTATCATGTTTTTATTCCCAAAATAGGACTAATTACTGTCATTTTTGGCAGTACTAGACTCAAAACATAGTAGTATTTTTCAAACTTGACAGTAATTACTCTTATATTGGGAATAAATACATAACACTCCTATTTTGGAATTTTCAAACTTTTTTATTCCTATTTCGGGAATTTTTCCTTTACGTAATATAATATTGTAAAATCTCAGTAGTACAAGTATAAAAAATTAGAAAGATATATGTGAAGATTTTATGTAGGAAAGAACTCAAAATGAAGAGAAAAATTAGAGTAAAAACTTTAACTAGGGGATGGAGATGATTGATTTATTGAGCTGCTTTAGTAATTATGAGTATCCATAAATGCACGCATAAATCATATTCCACACTTGGCAGTTCGTACTTGGTACTACAATATATTATGCTTCACCGGAATAGAGAACATTAGAAAAGGATTTTCAATTCATTTAATGTACGTACTATACTGGGTTCCCCTACTATACTACTATGAGATGATGTTATATGTTTAATTAATACACTGCCCATACTATACCTAATACCCTGATCAATATACAAGCCATGTTGCTATGTTGGTACTACAAAAGGAAAGTCATTCTCCACTACATACGTACGTACGCAGTTGAATCCGAGAGATTTACTACGTATGATTTACTTTTTACTCTTAGCTTGTAGATTAAAGGCAAAAATAATTAAAATATTCCAAACTTTCAAGAGGTATGAGATGAATATCTCAAACTTGTATATGTAATTCAAATAACCCAAACTTATATAAATGTACATCTATGGAGTTAATTATTGCATAATTTAAAATAGTAAATTAAAAATATTGCAATTATATAGATTGGGCGTAACATAATTTATTTCTCAATGAAAGTTTAAAATGTTAATTGTGTCTTCATGAATCCTAAAATATTTTAAATTATGCAATTAACACTTTAAATTTACATTTTTGAAAGAATTAATACATGACAATGGTGCAAAAATGATTTTTTATATAAAGTTTGGGTTATTTAAATTACATATGTTAGTTAGGGCTGCTTACCTCACACCCCGTCAAAGTTTGGGGTATTTTTATTATTTTTCCCTAGATTAAATGAAGACATGATCGTCTTTTAGGAGATGCAATAGGTGTTTGGAACCGGGACCCACTCTTGTAATGGGCCTCTAAAAATTTAAAATGTAGTATTTGGTATATGTTGATTTTTCTAGATGTTATGTACGGAGTATTATTCAAGATTCCAAAAGGTATATAATGTTTAGATTCTCTATTTTGTGTACTTTAAACATCATAAAATTTATATTTCATTGAATTGTCTAGTCTCACTAGTACAAAAAACACATTCTATAGCTAGCTTTTTATATGGGTTCATTTAAACCCCTTGTAAAATGTAGGCGCGGGGTCATTTTTATAAATAATTAAAGTTTCGAATAACTTAATGGGTAAGTATTATAAATATAAAACGTTATCCATAACGGGTTTAAAAATAACCGACATAGATAACCGAAAACGGGGTTATTTTTATAATTTTCACAAACTTAATTTTCAAATGGGGTCTTTTTTATAATTTTAGCTTATACTTTTTTATGTCAGGTGGTTGTTAACCCTTACGAAAAAGGCTAATCCAAAATTAAAAGCCCAATAATCGAACAGCCAGGGCAACATATACAACCGGTCCTTAGCTTCTTCGAATACCATGTTCCAGAAGAAAGACGAAGAAGACGACGCTGCACTGCTGCTCTTGGTTAACTCTCGGCGTCAAACAACATTTTATTAACTCTCGATGCTGCACTGCTGCTCTTCGTTTAAGATGTGACGCCTCTTCTCTACTTTCCACACTCTACACCGCACCACTTAATAGCCTTTGCCGCTGCTCTTCTTTAGCACTGCACGACGCACCGCTACTCTTCGTTAACACTTGACGGCTCAACGCTACTCCTTCCTATCAGCCGACAATCTACCAGTTCCGGAGGCTTCTTCTGCTCTACATTAACCAGCTTTCACAGTAGGTAATTTGTCATTACTTTTTATTTATTTACATTATACACTGAATACTTTTATCAGTTATGCTTCAATTGTTGTATGGTTTTATTGATCTGGATTTTGATTAAAAACTTCACACAACAGAAGATATGGAGTCAATTTTACTCAATAATGTTTTAGTTTAGACATGTCTATAATATGTTTGTGAAAATGTCCCAGTGAGATTTTGAATGGATGTTTCTTCATTGTATCATTCTTTTATGAATATGAAGAACAAGATGAGTTAGTCATTTTTCAAGGATGATTAGGACACTAAAGTTTCTGTGCCTATATTAAATTTGGGACAATCCATCATGGAATTATGCTTGATACATGCCTACGAGCAGTTATAAAATTTGAAAAAGTTTCAACTTTTCAAGAATAGAATATAGGTTTCATATTTTTTTCTATTACTCCGTAAATTGGAACTCCTTGGTGGAAGAAGGAAAGCTGTAGGTTTTTTCCCTTTTCTTCTTAGTATCGGTGTGGGACTATAATTATACACGAAGTGCATATTTCCTCTGCCCATATCCATAGGTATACAAAGCATAAAGACTGGTATCCATGAAAAACATAATATAAGAATATAGAAGAGGCTAAAATGAATTGATAGCACTTGATTCATTCTGTGAGCCATATTGGCTTTATATACAGTTGTAGGAGTAATACAGGAAGGGATAATAACAAACAATATTATCCTAACTAATTTACAAAAGATACAGATAATATATGGTATTATCTACAACTAACTAAGAGATAATACGTAGTATTATCTATACAATTCTTATATTATTCTATCATGCCCCCGCAAGTTGGTCGGTCTAGAGATAAGACCAATCTTGGAAGTGAATGTTTGGAAAGCAGTGCGACCAAGCGGCTTTGTGAGCGTGTCAGCAAGCTGGTGTGAAGATGAGATGTGATTGTGTTTGGAGCAGCCATAATGAATTTGCAGAGACAGCCTGTTGTTGTAGAGGAAAAAAAAAACTAGCTCGATACCATATAAGAATATAGAAGAGGCTAAAATGAATTGATAGCACTTGATTCATTCTGTGAGCCATATTGGCTTTATATACAGCTGTAGGAGTAATACAGGAAAGGATTATAACAAACAATATTATCCTAACTAATTTACAAAAGATACAGATAATATATGGTATTATCTACAACTAACTAAGAGATAATACGTAGTATTATCTATACAATTCTTATATTATTCTATCACATAATACGTCAAAATTTCAGATAATTCTCTTGAGTAATAAATATATCATCTCCCTGTAGTAAATTTAAAGAAACGTTAAAAATTAGAAAGTCATATTCCTTTTTGTTTTGGAGTAGATAGCCATATTTCTGGAATAAGTAAATACTAACTCCATCTCAAAGAGTATAGCTTAAATTTTTTTGCAATGAAACATCGCAGCAATCCTAAATCATATACTTCACTTTTAATTTTTTGCTAGTCAGTTTAACTATATTTATCATAGGCAACTTGTTTATAACTCTTTTTGGCAACATTTTGAACCATTACATAAAAAAGAGCTTAGATCGTTTGAACTACGTCTTATTGGGTACAAACAATGTTCACAAACTTATATTTGGGGGTGGGGCAGGGGGATAAACTCATAAATATAGGTAAAAATATGTGGGAGATTCTGAAAATTAAAAAAATCTCATGCATGAAAAAAGTCTTTTTCCAAATGATCTGCTTGCTTTTTTCTTAGAAGTGTTACATTAGAAGTAAAGAATATTACACTTGTATCGATTACGTACATCACAATATACATATATACATTTTGAATTTCAATACATTTTGATTGAAATAGTTAAATCCTGGACATGTTCACATAAAGAATAAATTAGCATATTTGAATATTTTTTTTACCTTGGCCCGTAAGCATTGTTTGTGCAAATAGTTATTTCAGATTCTTTTTTTTTTAAATAGTTATTTCAGATTTTGATCACTGGACTTAGGCGTGTTACCAGTGATTATTGCCTTGTTGGGTACTGTTTTGTATCTGGAACAGTTGAAAAATATGGAATGCTTGATACTAGCTTAATTACTCATTATAAGTAGAGGATCTATGAACTTGTGTCAATTTATGTGTGCATTCTTGAGTTCGTCCCAAGAAATATAATAGATCCACGACTATTATGTCAAAATTCTTTTACCTTCTTTGTTTTTTAGATTACATAAACAATTCACTAAGCATCTCCTTAAACCTTATCTCTCGTGTGTACTTGTAACCGGTATTTTGTATATGTAGAGCTACTACTACTACTATTATTATTTTATTATTATTATTAATATTATTATTATTAAATTTCCCTTTTATAACTATTATCATGTGGGTTTTCTTTTGCATATGTTACAGACATTACGATAGTTATGGATCGTAGTTGGATTAATTGTAGACGAACGAGTGACGAGTATGAAAATGGCGTTGAATCTTTTCTCGAGTTTGCTAAAACACATCTTCCTGATAACAATGGAAAGTTTTATTGTCCTTGTGTTAATTGTTTGAACGCGATACAACTAGATGTGGAATTAATAAGAGAGCATGTTATTTGTGATGGCTTTTGCAAAAATTACACGGTATGGATATGGCACGGAGAACGGCTAAAGATGCATAGCACGTCAGCTCATGGAGAGGAAATTTGCAAAGAAAATATCGATGATCATTTAGAGGACATGATACGTGATGTTGGCATAGAAGTTTTTACTCGATCTCATGTTTACGATGTGTTGTGTAGTGATTCGGAGAAGCCTTTGTATCCTGGATGCACTAAGTACACACGATTATCAGCTGTGTTGCGATTGTTTCATCTGAAAGCGAAGAACTCATGGAGTGATAAAAGCTTCACGGAATTACTTGTTTTATTAAAAGACATGCTACCAGATGGGAATACATTACCGAACCGAAACTATGAGGCAAAGAAAATATTGTGTCCTATGGGAATGGAGTACAAGAAGATACACGCTTGTCCAAACGACTGTATACTATACAGGAAAGAGTTTGCTGATTTGCATAATTGCCCGAGATGTGGATCATCACGCTATAAAGTGAAAGGTAATGATACCATTAGTGATGTAATTCACACAACTGGGCCTCCTGCAAAGGTTTTAAGGTATCTTCCGGTAATACCAAGGTTGAAGCAACTCTTCGCTAACCCAAATGAAGCGAAGAATATAAGATGGCATGCGAATGAGAGGAAATGCGATGGCATGATTCGTCATCCGGCAGATTCTATTCAGTGGAAGAAAATCGATGGGTTGTTTCCTGATTTTGGTAATGAGCCAAGGAACTTAAGGCTTGGACTAGCTACAGATGGAATGAATCCTTACGGAAATTTAAGTAGCATTCATAGTTCATGGCCCGTTCTCTTGATAATATATAATCTATCTCCTTGGTTATGCATGAAGCGCAAATACATGATGTTATCTTTATTGATCTCGGGCCCGAAACAACCTGGTAATGATATAGATGTTTACCTATGCCCTCTTATTGAAGACTTAAAAAAACTTTGGGAGGAAGGCGTTGAAGTGTTCGACAGGTATCAAAATGACCATTTCAAAATGCGTGCCATATTGTTCTTTACCATCAACGACTTTCCTGCTTACGGTAATCTTGCCGGTTACACCATTAAGGGGCATAAAGCATGTCCTGTGTGTGAGCAGGATACATGCTACCATCAATTATCCCATGGAAGAAAAACCGTGTATCTTGCTCACCGAAGGTTTTTAAGAAGGGATCATCCATATCGTAGATTGAGGAAAGCTTTTAATGGATGCAGCGAGAATAGATGTGCCCCAACCCCTTTGAGTGGAGAGCAAGTGTTTCAGCGAGTTAAGGATATCAATGTCGTGTTCGGTAAATCAAAAAAAAATAATACTGATACACACATATGGAAGAAAAGGTCAATATTTTTTGATCTTCCTTACTGGCGCATGCTTGATGTGAGACATTGCATTGATGTGATGCACGTTGAAAAAAATGTGTGCGACAGTATAATTGGAACACTTCTTGACATTCCAGGAAAGACAAAAGACAGTTTGAATTCTCGTCTTGATCTTGTGGAGATGGGTATAAGAGAGAAGCTAGCTCCACAACCTCGAGGTAAGCGTATGTATTTACCTCCAGCTTGTCATACCTTGTCCAAAAAAGAGAAAACAAGTTTTTGTGCTTGTTTGCGTGGGGTAAAAGTTCCACATGGTTACTCTTCAAATGTTAAGAATTATGTGTCAATGAAAGATTTGAAATTGGTTGGCTTAAAATCTCATGACTGTCATGTCCTCATGCAACAATTGTTACCAGTGGCTATTCGAGGCATTCTACCAGAGAAATTTAGAGTGGCACTAACAAGATTATGTATGTTTTTTCATAACATATGTGCCAAAGTCATTGATCCTCAGAAGTTGGATGAATTAGAAAATGAGGCAGCAGTTATATTGTGTCAGCTTGAAATGTTCTTCCCCCCTTCATTTTTTGACATCATGGTTCACTTAGTAGTTCATTTAGTAAGAGAGATAAGATTATGTGGCCCTGTTTACTTGAGATGGATGTACTCAGCAGAACGGTACATGAAAATATTGAAGGGGTACGTAAAGAATCAATACCGTCCTGAAGCATCTATTGTTGAACGTTACGTAGCAGAGGAGGCCATTGAGTTTTGTACAAACTACATCTCAGAAGTTGAAGCTATAGGGCTTCCGAAGTCCCGTCATGATGGAAGATGTAAAGGTCAAGGTACTAGAGGTTTAAGATGTAAGAGCATGAGCCGGGATGATGTGTTTCAAGCACATCTCTATATACTCAACAATTCTGAAGAGGTCCAGCCTTATTTGCAAGTTCACAAAGCACTTGTGAAGCAAAAAAATCCACGCAAAACTGAAAAATGGTTGTTGAATGAACACAACAAGACCTTTGTGAAATGGTTTCAAGAGCAGATTTTAAAAGACACTAATGCGAGTGAAAGATTAAGATGGTTTGCAAATGGCATTCACTTTGAAGTCATGTGTTGGGGTGGATATGACATCAACAGATATTCCTTTTGTACAAAGTTTCAAGATGATAAGAGTAGCATGCAAAACAGTGGGGTGATGGTTGTCGCAGAGGCTATGCATTTCTCAAGTGCAAAAGATAAAAATCCAGTGATGGCATCAGTGTCGTACTATGGAATTATTGATGAAATTTGGGAAATCGATTACACAGGGTTCAGGGAAGTTGTTTTCAAGTGCAAATGGGTGGACAATAGGAGTGGTGTAAAGATTGATGAGCTTGGTGTTACACTAGTGAATTTGGACACCTTAGCGTACACATCAGAGCCTTTCATTATGGCATATCAAGCAAAACAAGTGTTCTACGTAACTGACCCCTCCAATATGAGGTGGTCAGTGGTTCTCCAAGGAAAACATCTGTCTGTCAATGATGAAAACAGTGATGACATACTTGAGATTCCGCTATCTGCGTCGGTGGCTACTGTAGTTGCCGATGACGATGAATTGGACAATGTACATGCTGTTCGTGAGGATCATGAAGAAGGAATATGGGAGAATATCCCTGTCGAGGCATTTATTTATTTTATTATTAATTGATTAGTTAATTAATTCATTTGTTTTTAATTTCAATGTTAGTTATATGTATAATAATTTCTTATTTTGGGTGTAACAGGAAGATGAATAAGGATCAAGAACAGAGTGGATCAAGCAGCAATAAGAGAAAGAAAAAGAGTAGGAATCCCACGAGCTTAAAGGCTTTACTCCGTAGTCGTGCAGGTAATTCAATTGGATGTTCTATCATACATACCTGTTATCATTGTTTACTTGCTGATTTTCTATTTCATTGCAGCGAATGTAAGATTACCTATCGAGTTTGATGATCAGGGAAAACCAGTGGGTCCAAATAAGGATGCTTTTAATAGTTTTGTGGCCCTCGAGGGAAGGAGGAGAGCCAGTATATTGTGCCCTGAATGGGAAGCAGTTGATGAGGGAGTTAAAAATCAGATTTGGGAGGCTATTCAAGTAATTATTTTCTGATTTAGAGTTCAATATGTAGTATAGTAAGTAAACGTTGCAGTAAGTAATTTGTTTGGAGTAGTAAGTAAAAGATGCTGCTCAGCTTGAATTCATTTCAATATGCTTATGCGCATTATATATTACAGAAAATTCTAATAACTAAATATTAGAGCATAAAAAATTTGAAATTAAAAAATGTAATAAACAAAGACGAAAACTCAGCGTATAACTACTTAGAAATAATAATTAAATTAAATATTCTTTTGCAGGTAAAGTTAATTACCCATAAGTATTGGATGCTTAACTATTCTTAAATTGGAACCTGATGCATGTTAATGTAATGCAGCTTACTTTTGATGTCCCCAATGATCCTGTTTTGCGAAGAAAATTGATATCATATGCGGGCAATCGCTGGACAGGATTCAAGACGTTTCTGACAACAACTTACATATTTGGCACTCGTTCTAATGAGACTCCTACACAAAAGTATCAGTGGATAGATTCTGAGACTTGGCAGCAATTTGTTCAAAGTAGACAAGATCCAAATTTCCTGGTTAGTAACGTTGTTAACATTTCATGAGAAGATCATGTAACTTATTGTTCACTATACACTGTGTTTTGCATCTAAAACAGGAGCGTAGGAAAAAGGCGCAAGAAATCCAAGCATGCAATCAGTGCCCCCACATATTGTCCCGAGGTGGATATGCCCTGTTAGAGAAAATGTTAATGGCTGAAAAAATAAAACAGCGTGAAGAAGCCTCACAAGATGATCCTTCATTGGTGCTGAATCCTCCTTCCCCCATAACCCGCCATGTGAAATGGAAAAGAGGCCGAATTAGAAAAAATGGAAGGTATACTTCAAAGAGGTCTCGCCAAATCGGAGAAAAAATTGTAAGTCAAATAATAAATTTATTACTAATGTATAAATACTTGTATAAAAAAATTAGAATGGATGTTCATTTATGATATGCAGGATTCTTTAGTTGTTGAGGAACGAGAAGGTATGTTTGCTCCCAGCGGTCGTAATGATATTTTAACAATGGCTACTGAACGTTTTGAGCACCCTGGGCGTGTTCGTGGTGTTGGAGCAGAGTTGGTATTCGTGCACACTTTGGACCATTACCACGTCAAGGTTATAGAGCTACAGGTTTGACCCAAAATGATCTTGATCGTATCAAGAGAGAGTGGCAACATGAGATGCAAATGACAATGTCACAAGTATTTGCTCAGCAACTTCAAGATGAGCTTAAGAGGTTGGGATTAATCCAACAGAAAGAGGTACAGACAGATGTGCATCACACTCATTCTCCTACACATGTCAGTACCAAGGGCAGCAACGCTCCAGAAGATGCCTCTCAATCCAATGATGAGCTATCCCATCTCTATGTCGACACCCCTTTCCATTTAGTTGCAAGGGGAAAGGTATGTTACTTGAGTCTTAAAATTGTATGCATTCTAAATTATAAATTATATTAAATTTTGAAATCTTATTCAGGTACATAACCTAGGTCCTACTATACACCATCAGCGAGTAGAAAAAAATATTGTCAGGGTGGAGGTGGTAGAGGTTATAGATGCATCTGCAGTGGTACCAATTCCAAGCGAGGAGGTTCAAACAGTTGGACAAGCTCCCAATCAGTTCATCCAATGGCCACGAAGATTGGTTAACCCTCACATGAAAGAGAAGGCATATGGAAAGGTGCAAAATTATCCATAAGCTTTGGTTTTGGTTGTTGTGTGAACTTCAAATATAATTTCATAATAGTTATGCTATTGTAGGATGATGATGCCTCGCGTGAGTGCGCAAGTCCGATATCGCGTTTGATGACAATGACTACTCACCTTGGTCTACAACCTATAGAGCTAATCCTAAAAGAAGAAATTATTGGTCGTTCTGATGTCTCTCTTTATCTTGGCTCAGAAGAGATATTAGAGATCTGTTTGGGAAAGCAAATGCTTAGTGCAGTGGTTCTACAAGTATGGATCATGTAAGTTGGAATTGTTTGTCTCTTCTTATGCTAGTTAATATATAAATCTCTTATTGAAGATGAAAAGTTCATACACTTATTTAATACTAGTATAGAAGGGATAAAATTTAATTTTAAAATTAACACTTACAGTTTGCAGTCTTTAACTATAAAAGGAATTCTAAAAGGTGGACTGAAAAGAGTAAGAGACTGCAAAAGAATATTGTTATACTTTTCCTTAGGTTACAATTATCTTTAACTATATACTATAATTCCTTACTGCGGTTTAATGAAAAGATAATTATTAAACCTAAATATAACCTAAGGAATTCCATTATTTTCTAATTCCGCCAATCAAAGATGGACTGAAAAGAGTAATTAAGAGACTGCAAAAAAAAATACAATGTATAGTTAAATATAACCTACAAAGCAAAACTAAAAGTGATGGAGTATTTGATAGATCAATGGAATGTCATCATCTAACTGCAAGTATTAGCATGATAGAACTGAAATCAATATTGCATGTATTCGGAACTTTTACAGATCAGTTTTACTCTCATTGCTCTGTTTCTAGTTAAATACGGAGTATAATTTCTACTACGTATGCAGTAGCATCCTGGACGTAACAGTTATGGAAAATTAGTGGGCGTCGTGTACATCCACATGTGCACTGCGTTGGTATAACTATAGTCTTTAGACAATAGATATACATGGCGGGAACAGTTGTTATCTAACGATTCCGTTTTTATATTAAAATAGATTAGTTCCATATTTTTTCATTTACTAATGACTAGCTTATTATAGAACCTGGATGCATTTTACTCATTTTGAGTAGTGATATGATTAATACTGTTCTACTGCATGGTGATGGAATGTCAAGCAATTATTATACATTTATTATGATTATAAATTTTTAGGCGTTTGCATGAGTTGTGTGTTCAAAAGGATAATACGCATCTCTATGGATTTTTTGACCCACATACCATTCAAGATGTGGGGAACAAGCGTGAAGATGTCCAAACTTACATACTGACTCAGCTCACTGAAGGAAACAAAGAGTGTTACTTGATACCGTATTATTATCCGTAAGTTCTTTAGTTTTATTATTTACTCATTTAATGGTTTTCTGTTGAAGGGAAGGTGCAATCCCTTTTCACGTGTAATTATTTTATGGACTAATTGAAGTTGTTTTCCCTATTCTGATTCAGAAATCATTGGCAGTTGTATGTGTTGTGTCCAAGAAAGAATTCAATTGTATTCTTGTGCTCTTTGGGAAACAAACCAAAACCAAACATGAAGACTCTTCTAGATTTGTGAGATATAACTCTAGCAATATTAAATCAGTTAATTTGTGCAGCTATTCGGTAGTTTATAACATGACTAATTTTTGTACTGTTTCATTAGGGCTATGCAGGCACATCAACTGACAAAAAATAAAAGGAATTCTAAACCGAAATGGATCAAGCCAATGGTAAGTGCGAGTTTTATTAATGTTGAAGTACAGTAAGATGTTACGATTTTCATTGGATTGTGATATTTATACTCCATGTTACATCCCGTGTATATTGGACTTCCTTTTCATGTATGTGAAGTATTTTATATTAATGTATACCTTTTCATGAATGTGTGGGATTTTGTATAGTGTTTTGATTAGTCATCTAACTGAGAAAGCAAAAAAAAATTGTTGTGGATGCTATGGTTCCAACTTTCTTATGAAAAAGATAAAGTCGGCAAAAAGAAATCCTTTTACACTGTGTAATAGGGTATCAACGTGCAGTAATCCAGATTTTTATGCGTATTATTTTTATATTTGTATAGCTATAATATTGACTAAATGTGTTTTCATTTGTAGTGCCGAATGCAAAGTGGAAGTTATGAATGTGGTTACTATGTTATGAAACATATGAGTACTATTATCTCTGCTAATGTTGTTGATTCATGGATAGAGGTAATTAGTACTTATGTTTCATTATTTTACTTTCTTTGTATTTCTTTTTATTTTATTTTATACTAATATAGTGCTTTTCATCTTGTATAGGTATTCAATGTTCAAGATCCATTTAGTGAAGAAGATATCAATCAGATTCGAGAAGATTGGGCAACATTTTTCTGTGAAGCTACTAGCATTTAGTATTTATTTAATTAGATTTAGATGATACTATTTTTGGCATGTTTAAAAGTCATGCAATATTTTTGTTGGTGTATCAACGATAATTTTGAAACTATACTATATTTAATATACAATATTTTGCTATATGGTTTGTGAGTGGTGTTGTTTATTTATGAATATAGTAGTGAATGAACAGTATAAAAATTCGATGTTGTGGTACGATAAATTGATTTGGGGTAAATTACCATAGTATGAATCTGCATTATAAAAGACGTTTCATATGGGGTTATTATGAACCAATATGGAAAACATTCCATAAGGGGTAAAATGAACTGACATCGATTACTTTCAATAACGGTTATATTTTGACCTGATATTAAAAGGCCGACAAAAACGCGATTTGAAAATCAGACCTTCTATAACGGCTAAACAACAGCCGACATGGAATGTAAACCACAACGGGTATGCGAACCGACATAAAACGTAATACGGTTTCTATAACGGCGTATTCTATGTCGGGTCTTGAACCGATATAGAATGCCATTTTTAACCGATATTAAAAGTGATTTTTCCACTAGTGTCTATTTGTATTTCATTGTAAAATTTGGTATTCCAAAAGGGGACTTTAATTCGTCATTTGGAATCTGGGCCTCCAAATTGATCAGGCGGCTCTAAATAGATACATCAACCACAATGCTGTGCTGTTTGATTCTTTTTGCTGCTTGGCACATCAAAGGCGGATAAAAATCTCACCACTACTTTAATTAAGAGTGCTATTGCTGATGGAGCCGGTAAAATACTTACCTGGCCTTTTAAGGGTGTGTGTATATTTTGTAATTCTAAGGTTTTTAAGGTTGATCGTTAGAAAGGTTAAATAATCTTGTTTTAGATAATTAAATTATATTCTGTATTCAGAAACTACAAGTCTACAACTCCAAATCTCTATAAAATTGCAAACTCTAAATGAAACAAGAGTGTGTTGAGAAAGAAAAGTAGATTTTACAAATACAGCTTTAAAAATGAGGGACTAGAGTTGATTAAGCTTAGTAGCTTACCACTCTTCTATTAGAAGCTGTAGTTGCGATTTTGCAAAGTTAAAACATGATCATTTTTATTTTTCATAATGGGAGCGTAAGTTAGATACTCCGTACTAAATATATGCATCGGTATAACTGTACGTATATAAATGAGCTAGTGAAGTGAATGAACGAAACTGACAAATACGTTACGGAGTAGATCATTTTTATTTTTCATACCCTAAATCATTCTTTCGCCCATTCCTCTAAAAAGCAATTCATCAATCTTGCTTTCCCATTATACTCGTACTACGTACTCTTTATGAATGTATAGCTAAAGTAGTGCTCTCTAATTTTTTGTAATTTGAGCCTACTCACGCTAAAAAGTAACTCTTTTTCTTTATTTTCGTTATAAAACCACTCGGGTCATAGGGCGCAAAATAAAAAATTAAACATCTTCTAAAAAAATGGCTGAAGAACACGAATATTATATATATATATATATATATATATATATATATATATATATATATATATATATATATATATATATATATATATATATATATATATATATAGAATAAAGATCAAATGAGAACGGTGCTTAACGTGAGAACCCGTGAGAACCCCTGAGAATGGTGATATTTTTGGTTGAAATTTTTTGTGTATGTTCCTCATCAAATCTAGTTCATCCATACCAAATTTGAACAAAAAATTCAATCGGGAAGGTCGTCAAATGATTTTTGAAAGAAAACTGGTCCGGAACATACATATAAAACACAATTTTCTTTCAAAAAATCATTTGACGACCTTCCCAATTGATTTTTTTGCTCAAATTTGGTATGGATGAACTATACTTGATGAGGAACATACACAAAAAATTTCAGCTAAAAATACCAACGGTTCTAAGGGTTCTCATGAGTTCTCATTTTAAGAGGGGTTCTCACTAGAACCCTCCCCTATATAGATATATATATATATATATATATATATATATATATATATATATATATATATATTATATGGTTAAACATGCATGCACTAATGCATAATACAAATCTTCATAACCAGCATGCATGTGTGTGAACCACTTATTACGTACGACCAACCAGTGGCGGAACCACTTATTTCGAGCGGGTGGTGAAAAGTAAAGAGAGAAAACATTTTGTGTGTTCTTAAATATACCCTCCAAGTCCATTTTGAAGCAATTAAACATATACTCCTTTCATCCTACAAAAACCAAATTTGATTTGAACGTAGAATAATAAAGAAAAAATGTGTAGTTGAGATTTGTGTAGAAGGAAACAAACTACTTTAACCATCTATTTATTACTCTAAATGGAAATGCCAAATTTTTTTGAGACGATAAAAAAATTCCGACCAAGTTTTATTGAATGGAGACAGTAATTTTAAATTTGGAACAAATATATACTTAAACTGTATTGTAGATGACAAATTTACCAAAGAAATTTGACCAAGTTTTAGACATTAATTTTTTTTAATAATGAAGAGTTAATATATTAATAGTCAAGGTTTGTGTCTGACAAATGTGAAATACTGACCGCTGGTCCGCTGCATTTATTTAAGAACGGATAAAAATATTTAATATTGTAATACAACGTATGTTTTAATTAATCAAAATAGAAACTTTGTACGGAGTACATTGTAGCATAGTTAATATGATCACCGTAAATAGACATTAGTAAATTAATAATAGACAATAGGTCAATAGGCACACAAATCAAGCCCTAGTTTGTAAAAGTTAAAAACAAAAATACAAAATCATTAAATGTTTAGAATTGGGCCATGGGTGACTAATAGAAAAGTCAAAGCAAAGAACCATTTACTACGACTTTTTGCTGAACGAATTGGGCCGGCTGAAATGCATACCGTTCTACTCCGTATAATTGTATGAGTCAGCAAAAAACGACGTCGTTCTATTAAATGAAAAAAATCATACGAACAATCACTTTATACTCTGTTCGGCGGCTAGGGCAAAAGAAACTCAGTCGGCAATCAACTGAAGAAGACGACGATGTCCAAGCTCCAGGGGCGCGATGCAAATAACACATATACCTACTTTAGCTATTCCGGCGAAGGGGGAGCGCCAGCACCGGCTCGCCCCCATAGTTCCGCCACTGCGACCAACTTGATACCACTTATTAGGCTAAGGGCTTGTTTAGTTGAGGGTAATAATCTCTCATGGAGGCGCTATGATCTTTTACATAAATTTTGCAGAAGCTTAAAATTCCTCTGTCCTTGACTAATTGAGTTTATCAATTAACACTTGAAAGCTATAGTTATTTGAGATAGAATTTCCAATTTTGCAATGTTAAACTGATCAATTTTATTTGATAAAGGCATACCGCTTACTTAGCTTCTGTAAACCGCTTGCTTCTTTCCATCCAGGGGTGGAAACATGGGGAGGCTGGCGGGGGTCTTGACCACGACAAGGAATTTTTTTTATGTATAGCCATATGTATAAATATTTATAAATAATAAAAGATATAGTGAAAGTTTAAACTTTGGTCCCTCTTTATAAATTCCTTAAGCCCCGATCCCTTTAATCTGTCATTCCTTGCTCCGCCACTTCTTCTGTCCCATAACTTGCATCACATGGATCATGGATAGGATACAGAATATTTTCTTTCTTTCTTTATGGAAACTAACTATTTCTCTAGTGTTTCCTCACTTTAGGTAAAAGAGACCAAGTAAAATGGTAAGCTATAGCTATTTACCTTGATTACTCACTTTTTTACCTATTTCCTTCATACCGTTGATAGAGCTGTTCTAATCTCTTGCATGCGTTTTAACCTTTGAACCTCGCTTGTAATACGTGAAGGAAAAACATCTCTTTATTACACACCTTCCCGAAGTATATATGTTTCCATGCATTGCATCCACTATTTATTAATCCTACGTTTTTCCACCAACACGGAAAAGTCATCATATCGTGGCATTTGATATGCTGATAACCAAAGCCAAAAAAAGGAAGCATACATGGCATCATGATTGAAATCTGCAACAGAAAAAGAGTAAACCAAAATGTAAAATGTGCAAGGATGGGTATGCATGTGGGTGGTGATGATTTGTTCCCTTTTTAATCCCCACAACGCTTTCGTCTATACATAGAAAGACCATGCGTATAGGGTAAAGCTTGGGCAATGCCAATATGCCATTATGCCATACACACATTTAGTGGTAGTGAGAATTTGTGTGAAAATGTCACTCAATTTACGATACTTAACATGTAAAATGTCACTCCGTATTAGTTTATTACTACCTCCATCACCTTCATGCTTCATCCCAAATTTATTTTCAAAGTGAAATTTTATTTGTCAAATAATTTTATTTTATTCACTTTATTAGGATATCAATTTTTAATTATGTTCTAATTTTTATTCTGCAACTACTTGATAGAGATTTAATGTAGTTTCTGAATATGTAGATACAGAGTATTTTTTTTTAGATATTTTATTTTATAATATTTTTATAAACTTTAAGTTTTTAATTTTTCATTTTTTCGTTATTTTTAGTTTTATTTTTAATTTTATTTTTTCTCTTTTTTTATTACTAATTTATAAATATTTTTATATTTTTATTATAAATAAAATTATAATTTTCTTATTAATGAAATAAATATATTAGAAAATATATGAAAGGGTAGAATAGAAAGAAGAGATGTACAGTAGTCCTATTTTGTGAATAAAGGATTGTAGTCCTATTGTTAAATTTTGGGCTAATTTTATTCCTTTTTAGGGCTAATAAATCTTTTATATACAAAGGATATGTATATTCAAAAAAAATACGAAGGATATGTGTTTGTTGATTTTTTTAGTTTATACATCATTGGTTGTATATATTTTATTATGGAGTATGATCTAAATTAATTTTGTTTAAATCCGCACTAATTTGATTTGATTTGAAAATGAAATTGGTTAAATTAAAAATATAGAATACTTCGTGTCATATACTCTATAGTAGGCGAGAGAATGACGAATTAAAGGGAATTTCCCGTTCTAGCATTCCCATTTTTTTTAAAACTGGGAATAATAATTTAAGGCAAGTGATAGAGTATATGGGCCTGGACCCCATGGCCCACATACTCAACGACCCAAAAAACACCAGCT